GAAATGACCAGGTCTTAATGTCCAGACTGATTCAGGGCAGCACACAATGATGCAAGACCAGAAGATTGAAGGAAGGGTAGAAAAATTAGCCAAAAGAATTTGTAGATATCAAGGGTCATGGGTGTTGTTTTCTTTTCTTTTTCTTTTTCTTTTTTTTGTGGGTCATGGGTTTTAGAATTGTAGTTCTAAATATGCAGTCATCCCAGGTGATAAACCAGTTAATGTCATTGATCCCCAGGCTAGGATTTAGAGAAAATGGACATTTTGGCTGATACAAGGGAATTTTACCATAGTTTTGACTGAAGTGTATAGGGCAAGAAAAACACAACCACGGAGTAGAGGAACTACACACAAGGTCAATCCACAGTTCATTATATAACCTAATTAGTCCAGTCTTCAAAAATATTGAGTAATAATGGCTTTGGGCCTGCTTTTAACCTGTATAGTAAATTATAAAGTCATTGTTATTTGAATACAAAATCATTTTAATCGTCTTTTTGTATATGATACCATAGTAAACATCATAGGAAACAGTTAGATTGATTTTATAGTAAGTGTTTTCTCGCAAGTACTTATACAATGTCTACTCTTTCTTATGTCCGTCCACCTTACCACCTCACCCCCTATGCCTAATATTGTCTCTGATATTCAGGAGGAGTCAGTGTTGAGTTCATAAAACTTGAAGTGGTTTATTAATCTGCAGTTCTTTTGATTGCTAAGAAAAAATAGCTTTTAATTAATTCCTGGAGCTAGACAAGGTTAGAGTTTTTCAAATGTCAAAACTAACAACCAGAGCCAGATTGCAGATTGGCTCTGCAGATTTTAAGATCCACAGTTAGCATCATAATATATAGATATGTAAAGAGAACATTTACTTTCCTATGTTTAACTTTGGAGAATAAAATTTTATGTTGTGGTTTTGGTCAAACTTCATCTAATCTAAATAGCATGTGGATTATTTTATATCTTTTTATCCTGAACATAGAATTTCTCTGAGTAAAGAATGGTAAGATTTTAAATTAGTCCAATCAAGGCACTGAATCAATCATTTATTATGAATTCTATACTAAGCCTTCATTCTCCTTAAAAGGATTAACCTAAGATTTTCTGAAGTATTAATTCAATAATTTATTCTCCTAACACAATAAACAGTGCCTACACTGGTTATCAAATATTAAAAACTCACAGGTTCACAGAAATGAAGAAATTCAGGTCAAGAAATCTGAACAAAACATCATCAGCCAGTTTCTAATATATCTTGGATGCTTTTTACCCAACCGTATAAAGAGACCACTTGCATTTTTTGCAGGAGGCTTTCCCTAGAGTCAAAAGTCATTTATTTCTTTGATTCTCTTCGATTTGCACACCACTTATCATAGTTACAATGTAAAAAACTGCAACCCGTATTAGCTGTGTCGTTTAAATGTCCCTTCTCAGTATTCAGGTGGCCAACAGCTAATGGGACAGAAAAATAATCAACTCTTGCCTTTTTCTGAGCACCACCCTACACAGGGGTGTCTTCTGTGGATGAACAAAACCCTTTTGCTATGTAAAAGAAGTTGATCACTGTCCAGTAGCTTTCGGTGGGTTACGATTATTCTTAATGTGTGCCCTTAGGGACTTGAGTATTAATTTAGGAGGAAGAAAAGACCTCCTCTCACAGTGTCGTCATTTCTTCTCTTTTGTGGAAGCCTGCTGCTCTCAAGAATTTTGTTATCTCTGCACCCTCCTCTCCCTGAAGTGTATCTTCCTGCTGTTCTTCTGTTTCTCTCATCCAGAGTCTGTGCTGTCTCATTTGTTGGCAGCTAAGTGGAATTTATTATGTTCCTGTTTTCTGAACCAATTCAAGAACATGATTGCTGTACATCTCTTAGTACAGCCAAAGCATTCAAAGGAAAGAGGAAATAGGAAAGGAAAATCAGCGAAGTTGACATTTTCCTGCATCACAGTTTGAAAAAAAAAAAAATCTTAAGGCCTGAAATTAAAGAAGCCTAGATTTGAAGATACAGTTATCAGTGTTGATAGAAATGAATCAGAATATAAAAAAATCTTTGCCAAACAGATTTTTAATATCATCTTAGTGCTAACATTAGGGAACTTGAACTTTAAATCTAAGATTGTTTGTATTAGTTCCTCTTCCCCTGGCTAACTGCTAGTTTTTCTTCAGGTTTTATCTTAGGTACTATTTTTTTCACCAGTTAAGTGCTTCATAACACCCTGTAGTTAACTATTTTCCTGCAATCATCAAACATAATTACCCTTCTTTTAGTTACTTATTTTCTTATCTTTGCATCCCATTAGATTTGAGAGTTCTTAAAATCAGGGTAGTATTTTATCTACTAGGTACCCAGTGTACTGAGTAATACCCAATAAATATTAGTTGGCTAAATGAATGAGTGTTGTAAGCCCTGTGAGATATATAGAACTGAGAAATACATTCCTGTAATCTTTTGGGACATATAGAATTAACAAATATAAAATATTTATAGAACAATTTGGACCCAGATTTTATTATTGTTCTGAGTGATTGAAATAGCAAGATTGCATCTATGCTTGTGGGTGTGTATTTATAAGTACAATAAGAGTTCAGGTACTGGTGATTTTATTGACTCAGTTAGGAATCTTTATGGAAAAGGTAGGGCTTGAGTAAAAAATTGAAGGATAGGAAAGTTCAGGATGTTGAATATATTTAGAAAAATCCAAGATATTACCGTATTATGCTATATTAGATGGAACTAAAACCTTGGAGGGAATATAAAGTTAAATCAATCAGCTAAAAAAATACAGTGAACTAGGTATTCCATTAAAAGATTATTATACTTGGATTATTACAAATGAAATAAGTTACCAGCCGGCAGAGCAAAAGGTATGTCCATATCATTAGGGTGGTCGGCAACATGGGCTGTGAAAGAATTCACAAACAGAAGAAAGTGTGGAGAATGAAGGTTTTATTTACTCTCCAGGAAACGAGAGGGGCATGGCGTGGAGAGATACATCAGCATTTAGGGGTGGGGGCTTTGAGTTCTATGGAATTATAATTGGATTAAAAAGAGAGGGTGCTGCTGTTGTGTGGCCCTTGGGCTGCTGGGTGTTGTACCATGAGGCTGCAGTTTGTTACAATGTTATCTTCTGCCTGCAGCAGTAAGGGAGCAGTTCTGTTCTTGCTTCCAGTAGCTTCCAGTCCTGGGGACACAAGCTCAGAAGAGAAAAATGGCAGCCATGTTTAACAAGGTTGTAGGCCAGCTGGGCACATGGTGCCACAATGGCAAATGGCGCTGACTTTATCCTTTCACACAGTTCTTGAAGATTACGTTTCACAGAGCCAACTCGGAGGAAAATTGGATGCGAAATTAGACTTTTGAATATTGCAGTACAAACTTAGCTTAAGATTGCTTATTCCTTAAAACTTAAAAAGAACTTTGAAACAAGCATTAAACCTCAGTAACACTCTGACGCCTTCCCCAAACAAGGCTGTATTCAGTTTAAAACAATTTTTTATTTCTAAGTGATAATAATTAAATGATAAAACACTTTATTATTGAGCTATTTACCTTTTATAATTCTTAATGAATTTTACTGAATTCTATCAGCCCACTAACATTATTTAATATTAGATTTATGCTCTAAAATATAAATTACAGGGCTGAAGCTTCTCACTTGCTGAATTAAAACTACAGCTGAGAATCTAAAATTTCTGATTCATTTTGGCTTTCATCAGAAAATGATACTGTTACATGGAAAGCATATCAAATGTAGTTGCTTTTCAAGCTTACTTTGTGGTTCTCAATGTAGTTTAGCTAATATGGAATATAAAAAAATTAAAGGTAAATTGATGCTTAACTAAAAATTCCTCATAAGACTGTCATACCAAATACATCTTTATATTATTTCTTTATCTGGCTAATCTACATCCTTGATAATTTGTCCCACTACATGGGCTTCTACTTAAACTTAAGATTATATCAAATCTAAAATTGAAATAATTGTAAGTATGGCATAAATTGAACTACAGATCTCCAAAGCAATTACCAATCAGCCTCCAGCACTGAACAGTTAATAGTCATGATAACATAGCCTTGTTTGGAAGAAACTGAGCAGCTTCATGGTGTAAAGTAGAAGAGCAAATAGACTGTGAGTTTTCATGGGGAAATTTCCTGGTGAATGCACCTTAAAAGAGGTAAGAGAAGCAGTGGCAAACACAAACTGAATCATCGTCATCAAGGGTTGTGCTGATGTCCTGAGTCTGCAGAGCACTTGCTTCACCTCCTGTCTTAACCTGGAAGTACTCAAGAGGGGCTTCAGGGCAAGTGAACTCTATTTTTAACCCAAAGCTCAGGAGGCAGGCTAGTTGCCAGGTGCCATGTCAGATTTGGAAATAGAAAGTGAGAAGCTTAGCCACGCTCAAGGAAGCAGGGGCCAAAGTGCTACTAAGAAAACCAGGTAAAACCGTTTCACTATGGACATCTGCTGTGTGAAGAACTGTGAACTTGTTATAGATTGGTTAATACAGGAAACAAAACTATAACTCATAGAGTTCTTTATATCTTTAGGTTTAACACGTTGAGGATTGTAACAATTATTCCACAAATGTTGTCTTTAATTGCCAAAGCATGATCAAGACACATTTATTCAACTCACTATAAATAAACCAAGCAGATAATTTTTAAAAACATTCTAAATAGCATGCTTTTTCTCAAGGGGGTAATTAGTTATTTCATGTACCCTTCAAGCCATTCAACATACTAGTTAATACAAATTAGTAGCAAACTCTGAATCCTGTAGATGTGTTTATACTTTATATGCTGAAGAGCTCTCTCGTATTATTTTGTCCCTAAAATGTCTTACTCTCTTGTGGTCTATAAATTTTTCAATTAATTTTCTTACATTTTAGTGATACTTTTACTTATAAAGCACATGACATTAAAGTAGACTTTTAGCAGAAAGATCAAAATTATTTTTTAGCCTTTAACTAACTGATAATTATAAACATTATTTTTAAGTGTTCGGCTCCAAATATATGGAGAAGGTTTGACGGCAAAATAATTGAGATGGATACACAGTTCACTATCAGAGCCAGAGAGCTGCACAACATCTATAAATGTATTATGCTGAAAAATCTCTCTCAAGATGAGAGGTTGGATGTACTCTTAACACTTAAACATACTGTGAAGGTACGTTACCTTTCTCTTAGTTTTGGGGTATCCCTATCACTATCAATAAAAAATACTAAAATAAGCAAGATGTTTGTATTAGGTAATTATAAAGACAATTAATAAATGTTTATATACATATTGTTTTGGTATAATTTGGGGAGGATATGGTTTATGCATTAATACCTATCTAAAAGTTCTCAAACTATATATTATGACATATAATAAATGTATATATGGCACAATGAATATTCTAAATGTAAATATATTTTATATTTGTGCAATTAAGCAAATATATGCAAATATATTGCATGGGATTAATACTCAGTTTAATAAAATAGCAACTATTATCTATATATTTTGATGAAAATTTTATTTTTAGCAGTTTTAAAGCAGCATCGGTGTAAGCATTTTTGTCTTTTTTTTCTCATCAATCACTGGTGAAGAGCTTTTCCCACTCTCAATCTAACAGGGAACTCTGACACTGTGAAGACTTGTGAGCTGTCCTGAATTGAGGCAGGGGGCTAGAGTTTTACTCCTACATTGATCATTTACCAAATGCGGCTTGCCCCCGGGAAGGAGGTGTGACTTTGTTTTTGTTTTGTTTTCACTTTAATCTTAGATTTTTAATTTAAGTTACTTTTTTACTGAACAGTTTAAAAAACCAAAACACACTATATTACCATGATTTTAGGCGGTGAACATATCAGGACATTGAGTACACATCATCCAAACATAATCACAAAGTCAAAGTAGCCAGTGTTTAAGAGCCTCGAGAACAAAGGACTGAACCAGCTGAAAGCTCTTAGGGAAGCTCACATTTGTTGCTAGGCCTGCCCATAGTTGGAGACCAGTGAACGTCCCTCAGAACAGTCTGGGTTGAGCTTGAGTGATCAGAGATTTGGGAAGGTACTGGTTTCCTTGGTACCCAGAGGTCTAAACCTCCCCGCTGGTCTTTTCCATCAGTTTCCAAGAATCATAGAAGGGAGGTGACACTTTATAATGCTATTTACTGCACTCATCCTTTAATGTGACTTTGAAGGAGGAATCTGTCTTTATTGGAAAGCAGTTCTCAGAGAAGGACTCAGTTAAGAGTGTTAGTCAACAGTATACGAGTAGTGGAGAAATGATTACATCAAATCTGAACACAGCATGCACTGCACATGCTGCTTGCTGCTTGGACCCACTGGCTTCATGTTATAAGTTTTGGGAGTAGCTCCTTGTTGGGAAACACTCTGTCAGGTTTCAGGAACTGTAGCCCTACCGACAGGCAAGAGGTCCCCAAGGCTGAAGATAATCAAGGAGGCCTTGGGAAAACAGGCCACTGAGGAGACAAAACCTGTTCCCCTGGCAGGGGCACAACCCCTGCCTCCCTCACTTCACCCTGCTTGGCCCTGTGATGGCTGGTAGTCAAAGTTGGGTGCGATTCCTCAAGAGGAGGGACAACCTAAGCCAGACACAGCCGTTATGAACAGCAGGCCAAGGACTTGGGCGACGAGGAGAAAGGGCAAAAAGGCCGGCACCTCTTGTCTTGGCTTGGACGTGGCCAGGGTCCTCATTCTCTCTGAAAGAAGTCTCTTTATCTCTTGGCTCTGCCCCACCCGCCTGACTCAGGCTTGAAACAATACTAAAGGCAGGTACAGCCCTAAACTGCATTGGGTGGTTCCCAGGGGGAAATCAGGCCTAGAAGTTCGTTCCTTGAAGCATGCTTTGTTCTTCCCTCAAAAGCTAGGATAACCGGCTCATACTGGGAAGGAGATTTACATTATTCATAGACCCTGACCTGAGGCAGATCTCTTGTGTTCCTTCATTTGTTATGTATGATCTCTGTTTTCTGTAAACATAGCCTTTTGACATTGATTGATGAGCTCTGCATCCATACCCCTGTGCATATGGTTCTCAATAAAAGCCTTTGGACACGGGGGCTCGGGACCTTCTCCACTAGAAGGAAGAGCCATGTCCCCTCTCCCGGCAAACAGAGGGATGACTCGTGTTTATTCCCTGCATCTGTGACAGCCCCGGGACAGGCTCTGTGGGATTCATGAAGAGCCCTGCTCCCTCCTCAACTGGCTCCAGACAGTAACCCTCAGATCCAGGAGCACCTAGCTTGGTTCTCCCCGCGACAGCTCCTCTGGATTTGGGTAGGTCCTGCTTTCCTAGGGAAAATTATGAGCAAGGTGGATGAGGTACAGTTCCTATAAGGACAATAGGACAGTTCCTATTGTCATTGTCCTTAAGGCAGCAACCTATACTCTTGTCCCTTTCCTCTGATACCCATTTTAGATTTTCCCACTCTCAAGTAGCACCTTTACTTGATCTACCTAGCTTACCTGTTCAGGTGACCCATGCCTTGAGAGATCTAGACCAGAGGTAAACAATGCTCTTCTCAGCCTGAGGCTACTAGACTTCCATTTACTATCAAAATTAGACCTAAGAGTGTACCAAAAAATGCCCGTTACCTGGATGCCCAAAATATTCTTCCTTGTCCCCTTTGGGTAATAGCCCTACTGCCTTTAAAAGATCAAGGGCAGTTACCTTTATAGACATGTGGCACTTTCCTTGTCTTGGGTCATTTAGCCTAAGAAACCCAGGCATTTGATGTAGTTTAATGTTTAATAGGACTCTTGCTGTGTCCACTGCTAGAAAAATTTTCCCTCCAGGAATTAAGACCTCTAACTTTGAAGAGTTCAGAGTTGCAGGGACAGGAAGCAAAAATTCCCCAACTAGTAAGTGGGGCCATTTCTACTTCTACCTCCTTGGTTTGCAGCATAGAGCAGTTTCAGGGGCTTCTACTTAGTCTTCCCTATCACATTAGCTCAAGAAATCAAGGGAAAGGCAAGCCTTGCCAATGCCCAAGTATTCCATTCCAATGATATATTTAAGATTAGGGAAATGAACACTAGGTGGGTCTCTGAACCCAGTGGACCCATTGTGAGCTGGACGTGGGTCGGGATTCCATTTATATATGTATGTATGTATGTATGCATACATGTTCCCATATACCTTCATTTAGGATCCTGGGCTTTTATTCCCCCACACTGATTAGTCATTTGATTCAGGATATTCCAGGGAAGAAAGCATGACCTTGAATGAGGAAGTTCTTTTAAATTGATGGCAGCTACTTTCAGCCAATATGGCTTTCTTCAGCTGAAGGCAATCTGGAGAGAGGCTCAGTGGAGAGCTGCCAGCTGCCAGACCTATCCGCAGCTGGGAGACCAAGTGCTTTGGTCCTGAAGTGGGGGTAACGCAGACAGCACATCACAGCATTCACTGTAATGAGTATCTTCTACATTCCTAGTCAAGGGGGGAAAACTCAGGTATTGTTAGGACCACTGGTATAGCTCTTATATTTTATAGCTCAAATTGAAGGCAATATTGGGTATATGTTATTGTCAATATAGATAAGTTGAATGGACAACTCAGCTAAAAATATTTGGCTTCTGAAAAAGATTTTGATTTTACTAAATTTATAAGACACTTGCCATATGCCACCTTCAGTTTATGGCATAAATATATAAGTTGTTTATGAATTATTGTCTGTGCTATTATAAAGTTTGTACATAGGCAGTAGATTGGGTAACTGCATAGAGCATCTATTTTGGTCATCAGTAGAGCCACATTGCCAGAGCACATAGATACAGCTATCCAAATAATCAGTAGTTCACTATAAATAACAACTGAAAAAAATGTCAGCCATATTTAGATCTATCTATGAAATCTTGTGATTACAGTCTAAGAATTTCATGTGTACAACTCTTAGATATCTCATGTGGGTCCTTTACTTCCTAATTGCAAAGAATTCTCATTCTCTTAAGAAATAAGACCAAAATTCATAAAGTTCTTAAGACACATTAAGTAGTTGAGTAAAATGGTTCTTGTTAGGACATAAGTCACTATAGGTCTCTTGCAGAGCAGAGGCATTGAGTGCCTTTGTTCTGGACTACCCTTTCAAAGATGTTTGTGTAGTGACTAGCCTTGTGTAGGGTACGTAAAGGCGGTCTGGCCTCCTCACCTAGAGGTGTGGGTAACCAGAGGGAGCAATTCCTCACAACCTTGGAGGAGTCTGATAAAGCAGTGTCCCTACAGGCTTTTGCCTGGGTCTCATGGCCTTGAGTCCCAGGTGTGATAAACTGCCCAGTAGCCTTGAGTAGGATCGCATGTGCAGCTCATGATAGTTACTTAACCTTCTGTCTTGACTGCCTGCTTTGTTTAGGGCTAGTATAAGAGGGATAGGAGCTTTGGACGAGGTGGGGAGTCGGGGCACCTACTTGGACACAGGTTTTGTGACCTGTGTGACTCCTTCCACACGGGCTTGTGACCTGTGTGCAGCGCGGACACAGGCTTTGTGGTCTGTGTGATTTCCCCGGACTTGGCTTGTGCCTGTGTGACTCCTTCAAATAAAGGCATGTCAAGCATCCCCAAGGCTCCACGCATCTTCCTCCATCTATCCGAGCCCCAAGCGGACCTGTCCAGCCTAGAGAGGCTGCAACACGCCTTGGAATACAGAGGTAGTTAGAGAGCGAGGGAGAGACAAAAGATCCAGAGGTGGAAGATAAGCATGATACCTACAGAGGGCAGTAAAAAGACCATTTGGAAAAAAGAAAGTGCAGGTAGGGAATATAGGAGAAATTTTCTTATCTGACATAACTATGACTGTTATATGGTTATTTAAAAAAGCCAAAGGTGGCTCATAAAAGATAAATTGTGCGTCTCTTAAACAATATGTTTAAGCTATCATATCCACATGTATTCACTTATGGCTGTGAAATCTTAAATAAGTAATTTAATATATCTGAAAATCAGTTTCAATTAATTTGTAAAATTAGTTGCTTTGAGGATATAAGTATATGTGTGCATATATATATAATATAAAATAAAAATATAATTTATATATCTCACTGCTTACAAATAGGGAACGCTTAATAAATAATAGACATTATTTTGCTGACTGTTATAATACAGACCAGTGAATTTTAAACCTGAGTACACATTAGAATTATCTGGAGAGCTTGAAAAAGAGAAAAAGAGGGTGACAGACAGACACACACAGAGATTATGAGAATAAATGATTAGGAATAATAGCTAGACCCCACTTCAGAGCAGTTAGATTAGGTCCTCAAGTGTGAGAGCAATGTTAAATCTCCCCAGGTCCTCATGTGTCTTCAGGGTCAAGTGTTGGGAATTGTCCTGCCTGGTTTCAGGAACTGTAGCCTCGCTGACAGGCGAGAGGGCACCAAGGTTGGAGCTGAGCAAGGAGGCCTTGGGAAAATAGGCCACTGAGGAGACAAAACGTGTTCCCATGGAAGGGGCACAGCCCCTGCCTCCCTCACATCACCCTCCTTGGCCCTGGAGGATGGCTGGTTAGTCAATGACTGGTAAGATGCCTCAATGGCAGGGGCAACTTAAGACAGGTACAGCCTCATGGGTGCCATCAGGGAAGGACTTGGGGGACACAGTAAAGGGGCAAAAGACCTTCATTCCTTGGCTTTTTCATGGCTGGAGTCCTCATTCTATCTGAAAAAAGTCTTCTTATCTCTTGGCTGCTCTGCCCAGCTGCCTGACCGGTCAGTGAAACAATCTAAAGGCAGGTACAGCCCTGAACTGGATTGGGTGGTTTCTGGGGACAATTAGGTCTGGGAAAGGAATGTATTAAATCCTATGAAACCTACTTTGCTAAGAATGCCCTTGAGTTAATGAGTACTGATGTTGCGGATCACTTTGTGAGGCGTTGGGAACTGTGGCCCCGCAAAAGAATGCATTGTATCCATTGAAGCTTGCTCTGCCTCGAACTGCCCTGATAAGGAAAAACCAGGTGTCTTACTTCACAGCAAGGAGATAATTTCTGAGCCCTTAAACTGTGTCTTAACGAGCATCTGGTGCCAGCTTGACTGACCTTGATTTAAGACAAACCTCCGTATTTCTTCAATTTATTATCTATAGCCTTTGGATGTAGATTGATAGGCTTTGTATGCATGCTGTATACCCTTGTGCATATCGTTCTCAATAAAAACCATTTCTAGAGAAGGCCTTGGGGCATTCTCCACTAGAGGGAATCACTAACCCCTTCTCCTGACAGGCAGTTTGTGTCTGGTACAGTTTATTTCCCCATTCGTGGCAACGTGGAGTGGCTCTGTGGGACAGAGCCCCTCCCCCCTCAGTCAAGGACCACTGATGCAGAATCATGTATAAGCTATGCCAAGTATATATTAAAAAATACAGAAGAGTATTATTTTATAGTTACCAACTTTACCTTTTGACTCATTCATTCACACTGTGCTTCTCATGGTCCCCTGTTGGGTGGTTGGAACAACTTCTATTTTCTACTTATTTGACTACTTATAAATCCTTCTACCTTAATCACTTAACTCTTACCTGGGGCTTTCTATCTCAAACACACTCATTTCTATTACTTTATTAAAAATTATTGTGCCCTGAATGGTGTGGCTCAGTGGATTGAGCACTGGCCTGTGAACCAAAGGATTGCTGGTTCGATTCCTGGTCAGGGCACATGCTTGGGTTGCGGGCCAGGTCCCCAGTTGGGGGTCTTCAAGAGGCAACCAACCAATGTGTCTCTCACACATCTATATTTCTTTCCCTTTCTCCATCCCGCCTTCCCTATCTCCCTAAAAATAAATAAAATCTTTAAAAAATAAAAATTATTGTGAGATATAGGAACAAACAGACAATATGTATAGAATAAATATGTGCAGCTTAGTAAATACAAAGCCATCAATCATATAACCACCCTCTGGATCCAAAACAGGTCAGTACCAACATTGCCGTGTCCCACTTTCTCTTCATAATGGCCGTTCACCCTCTCTTCCCCTAGAAGTAACTACCATACTGACTATCATGGTAGTCATGTCTTTGATTTCTTTAGTTTTACCACTTTTGTGTACATTTCTAAAAAATAAAGTTAGTGTTTCTTATTTTTGGGTTTTGTTTAAATGGAATGATATTGTATTATTTTGTGCCTTGATTCTTTTGACATTACTTTGCCTTGATCCTTGACATTACTTTGTAAAAGTGAAACTTGTTATTGTATATATAGCTGTAGTTCATTTATTTCCTTACATTAGATAATATTCCGGTATATGAATAAGACATCACTTATTTATGTAATCAATTTATTTTTTAATTTAATTTTTATTTTTAAACCATGTTTATTCTATTACAGTTGTCTCAGTTTTTCCCCCTTTGCCCTCCTCCACCCATCCCACCCCCACCCCCGCTCCCACAGTCAATTCCCACTCTGTTGTCCATGTCCATGGGTCATTCATGCATGTTCTTTGTTTAGTCCCTTCTCCTTCTTTCCACCATTGTCCTCCTTCCCTGTCCCTTCTGGTCAGTTTCATTCTGCTCCATGTTTTCCATGCCTGTGGTTTATTTTGTTCATTAGTTTATTCTGTTGAATAGATTACACTTCCAGGTGAGATCTTAAGGTATTTGTCTTTAACTGACTGGCTTATTTCATTTAGCATAATATTTTCCAGTTCCATCCATGTTTTTGCAGAAGGTAGGAGTTTGTTCTTTTTCTTCCTTCCCTCCTTCCTTCCTTCCTTCCTTCCTTCCTTCCTTCCTTCTTTCTTTCTTTCTTTCTTTCTTTTCTTTCTTTCCTTCCCTCTTTCAAATGCAGACTGATTTTATTTTTTAAATGTCAAAATTCATTATAAAATATTAAAAAATTTAAATCCATTCTAAAGTCTCAGCAATTAAAACAACATGACACCAGCACAGAAATAATCAAATAGATCAATGAAATAAAAAGAACATGCTAGAAACAAATGTATGTATCTATCTAACAATGTAATATATGATTAAATTGATTATTAAAATCAATGGGGAAAATAAGGCTTATTCAACAAATAAGGTGCATGCACCATTACTCGAAATAAAACAAATATAGAGCCCTATTTCACACATTATACAAAAAATATGCATGTGAGTTAAAAATCAATATGTAAAATCTAAGGAGTTTTAGGAAAAAATTCAAAATAATATTTTTCTTATGCTGAAGTAAAATATGCAAACCCAGAAGCTATAAAGTAAAATGTTGACAATATGACTATATTAAACATTTAAGACTATACAGTAATATGCATATAAACAAAGTTAAAGGACAAGTAATAGAATAGGAAAGTATTTGCCACACATCTAAAAAAAGGGTTGTGTTTGTGTTTTTTTAGGGAAAAAAATTCTACAAACATTAAGTCAAAAAATGGATAAAGAATACTAAAAAGTCATTTAAAGCTTTTTAAAAATAATAGAAATAGGCAAGAAATATATAAAAACAGGTTTAGTTTCAACAAACAATAAAGGAGCGATTAAAATAACACATCATTGTCACAATCAGATTAATAAGTGTTAGAAATATTGGTAATATCAAGTATTGGTGACTGTGAAAAGAACTGGGTATTCATGGACTCTTTCTTCATCTTAAAGCAGCCCCTTTAGCATATCTTGCAGTGCTGGTTTGGTGGAGATGTATTCTTTTAGCCTTCTTTTGTCTGGGAAACTCCTTATTTCCCCTTCAGTTTCAATTGAGAGCCTTGCTGGGTAGAGCAGTTTTGGTTCCAGGCCTTGGCTTTTCATGACTTGGAATATTTCTTGCCATTCCCTTCTGGCTTGTAGTGTTTCTGTTGAGAAGTCAGCCGCTAGTCGTATTGGGGCTCCCTTATATGTTACCACCTCTTTCTCCCTTGCTGCCCTAAGGATTCTGTTTGTCTTTGCTGTTTGCCATTTTAATTATAATGTGTCTTGGAATGGGCCTCATTGGGTTCCTCTTGAGTGGGGCCCTCTGTGCTTCCTGAATTTGTATGACTTTTTCTCTACTCAAGTTAAGGAAGTTTTCTATCATTACTTTTTCAAACAGATTCTCTATCCCTTCCTCCTCTTTTTCTCCTTCTGGTATCCCTACTATATGGATACTATTACGTTTCAGGTTGTGCTGCATTTCCCTAAATGCCTCTTCATTCTTTTTGAGTCTTTTTTCATTTTCTTGCTCTTTCTGGAAGCTTTCTCCTACTTTGTCCTCCAGCTTGCTGATTCGGTCCTCAGCTTCATCAAGCCTGCTTTTGATTCCTTCTACTGTGTTCTTCAATTCGGAAATTGTATTCTTGATTTCCTCTTGCCTTTTATTGATAGTTTCTTTGTCCTTTTTCATGCTGATGTAGTTTGCAGTAAATCCCTCATAGTTTTTCTGCAGTTCTTTTGTAATTCTCTCTGAGCTCACTGAGCTCATTGAGCTTCCTTAGAACCATTGTTTTGAACTCAATATCTGATAGTTTACCTGCCTCTATTTTATTTAGTTCTCTTTCTGGGGATTCCTCCTTTCCCTTCGACTGGGGGGTGTTTCTTTGTCTTCCCATTATTTGTGAGACTCTTCTTTTTTGCTTCTGCTTCTTGAATTGATCTGTCTTGATTTCCTGACTTTATGATATGAACTTCTATGGTACGAGACTGCAGTTTTTTCTTTCTGCATCTGCCTCTGATGATGTCAAATGTTGACCCTGTCAGACCTTAGGCAGTCTGTTCGAGACTTCCAGGAATCTACTGTCTGTGGCTATCTCCTTTAGTTATTAATCTGTAATCCATTTATTTATGACTATTTGGTTATTTCTAATTTGGGGCTACTGTGAACAATGACTCCACATGCATGTTTTTCTAAGTACTTAAGATTAGAATTGTTGTGTTGTATATTATGCATATATTAAACTTTACTAGATAATGTCATTTTTTCCAAATTAGTTGTGCCAATTCATACTTCTGTAAGTGATGTCTCATTTCTTGTAGACTTGAGTTTTGTTTTCTTTGGGTAGTAGTTTTAAACACTAACAGTGATTTTTAAAATCCTATACTGAATATTTTTGTGTCTTATATAGGAACATGAATGTAAACTGACTCAGGAAATTCTGGAATTGATTGACAGAGAGGTTGACCTTATGATGAGAGGAGTCAAACAAGATAACCTTGAGGGACTCAGAAAAAGAATTGCAACGTTGTTTTTTCATTACATCAAAACACCCCTGTTTAATCCAGAAGTTGTAAGACACCTTAAGGTACTGTACTTTTTTCCTGTATTCCTTTTTCAAAATTTTATGATGTGCTATAATAAATAGAAGTGTATTCAAATTTTGCTTTAACACTTCACTTGGCGTCCATGTGGCAGACCATCTTATTGTGAAATCTCTTTTGAATGATTTTTTTTTATGTTGATGAAGTAAACTTATTTATTTAACTTCTGTGTCTGTTTCCAACCTTGAATGTTTTCCTAATCTCTGAACCAAATTTCCACTTGAATAATGCACTCTGTTCAATGTATTGTGATCTCTCACACCTTCATGCTTTTGTATGTACTGTTGCTTCCCCCGGAAATGCTGTCCCCATCTTTCATCCAGCCAACTCTTGTTCATTTTCTAAGATTCAATATCCCCTTCCTTCATGAGGCCTCAGAGATCCTGGATCTCTGAGATTCTACATGCCCTTGTTTGTGTCCACTTAGAATACTTATAACATAGTTTTAATTATTACTAAACAAATCCATGTGGCTATCCTGATAGAACTTCAAATGTGACATGTATTTGAATTAAACTGCCTTCTCCAACTCTGCCATGTTTAAGCTTCATTAGGGATTTTGCTCTCTGTGCCTTACTGCTTTTTTTTTTTTATTGCTATTACAGTTGTCCCAATTCCCACCCTTCCTAACACAAGTTGCTCCGCCCTGCTGCGCCTGCTCACCCTCCCTGCTGCCACAGTCAATCCCCACCCTGTTGTCCATGTCCATAGGTCACTTATACCTGTTCTTTAACTAGGCCCTTCCTCTTCTTTCCTCCCTCACCCTCTCACCCCTCCCTGTCAGTTTTGTTCCTTGCTTCCATGCCCCTCATTCTATTTTTCTCGATTGTAGGTTCTTGTTATAGGTGAGATCATATGGTATTTGTCTTTTGCCGCCTGGCTTATTTCACTTAGCATAATGCTCTCCAGTTCCATCCATGCTGTGTGAAGGGTAGTAGTTCTTTCTTTCTTTCTGCTGTGTAGTATTCCATTGTGTATATGTACCATAGTTTTTTGATCCACTCATTTACTGATGGGCACTTAGGCTGTTTCCAGCGCTTGGCTATTATAAATAATGCTGCTATGAACATTGGGGTGCATAAGTTCTTTTGAATTGGTGTTTCAGGATTCTTAGGGTATAATCCCAGCAGTGGAATTGCTGGGTCAAAAGACAGTTCCATTTTTAGTTTTTTAAAGATATTCCATACAGTATTCCGCAGTGGCTGCACCAGTCTGCATTTCCACCTTCAGTGCATTAGGGTTCCCTTTTCTCCACATCCTCACCAGCACTTTTGTTTTTTAATCTGTTAATGATGGCCATTCTGACATGTGTGAGGTGGTGTCTCAATGTGGTTTTAATTCGCATCTCTCTGATGATTAGTGATGTTGAGCATCCTTTCGCATGCCTGTGGGCCCTCTGTCTGTCCTGCTTGGAGAAGTGTCTTCTCAGGTCCTTTGCCCATTTTTTAATTGGGTTATTTGTCTTCCTGGTGTTGTGTTGTATGAGTTCTTTACATATTTCAGAGATCAAACCCTTGTTTGAGGTATGGTTGGCAAATACATTTTTCCATACAGTTGGTTCCCTTTTCATTTTGATGATGATTTCTTTAGCTGTACAGAAGCTTTCTGATTTCATGTAGTCCCATTTGTTTATTCTTTCCATTATTTCCCTTGCCTTAGGGGATGTATTGGTGAAAACATTGCTGCATGGGATATCTGAAATTTTACTGCCTATGTTTTCCTTTAGGACTTTTATGGTTTCACAGCTTATGTTTAAGTTTTTTTCAATCCATTTTGAGTTTATTCTGTTGTATGGTGTACTTGGTGGTCTACTTTCATTTTTTTTGCATGTACCATTCTAGATCTCCCAGCACCATTTGTTGAAAAGGCTATTTTTACTCCATTTTTTGCCTCTGCCTCTTTTGTCAAATATTAATTGACCATAGAGACATGGGTTTATTTTTGGGCTCTCTATTCTGTTCCATTATCTATGTGTCTGTTCTTATGCCAGTACCAGACTGTTTTGATTACAGTGGCATTGTAGTATAGTTTGATATCAGGTATTGTGATCTCCACTACTTTGTTCTTTTTCAAGATTTCTGAGGCTATTCAGGGTCATTTTTGGTGCCATGTAAATTTTTGAAATATTTGTTCTAAGTCTGTAAAATATGCCATTGGTGTTTTAATAGGGATTGCATTGAATCATAGATTGCTTTGGGTAGTATAGACATTTTAGTGATGTTAATTCTTCCAATCCATGAACACAGTGTACTCCTCCATTTGTTTGTATCTTCCTTGACTTCTTTCTTCAGTATTCAGTAGTTTCCCGAGTATAGGTGTTTTACGTCCTTGGTTAAGTTTATTCCTAGGTACTTTATTTTTCTTGTTGCTATAGTAAATGGGATATTTCCCACTAGTTTCTGTTTCTGATATTTCATTGTTGGTGTACAAAAATGTCTTCTATTTATGAATATTGACTTTGGTCCCACTATTTTGCCAAATTCACTTACTGTACTTTGCTGTGTATAATGTGCACCAATGTTTTTGACTCAAACTTCCCGGAAAAAAATCTTTTGTTTTAATTTTTTAATTTATTTTTTATTTATTTATATTTAGATAGTTATTTTTTGTATTATAAAGGAATTTTAGCATTTATTTTTGAACATATTATGATACAAGAAGTTTTATGTAACTAATAATTACAGAACACAAGAACAGATACAGGTACTTAAGGTACTACCCATGTACAATGCAATCTTTATTTTTCCCTCAAATATTTGGGGAAAGAAAGTGCTCATTATACACAGCAAAATGTGGTATTAGGTCGAGTACTTTTTTGGTGGTGCCAATAGGGTTTTCTATATACACTATCATGTCATTTGCAAACAATGACAGTTTTACTTCCTCCTTTCCAATTTGGATGCCCTTTATTTCTTTTTCTTTTCTGATTACTATGGCTAGAACCTCCCATACTGTGTTGAATAAAAGTGATGAAAGCAGGCATCCTTGTCTTGTCCTCATCTTACGGGGAAAGCTTTTCGTTTTTGTCCCTTGAGTATGATGTTGGCTGTAGGTTTCTCGTACATGGCTTTTATTATGTTGAGGTATGCTCTCTCTATTCTCACTTTGCTGAGCATTTTTACCATAAATGGGTGTTACTTTATTGAATGCTCTTTCAAGATCTAGAGATATGATAATTGTAGGTTTTGTCTTTTGTTAAGTTTATGTGCTATATTACATTTATCAATTTGCAAATATTATACAGTCCTTTTGTATAGTATTATCCCATTTATCATGGTGTATGATCTTTTTAATGTATTGCTGGATCCAATTTGCCAATATATTGTTGAGGATTTTAGCATCTATGTTCATCAGTAATATTGGCCTATAGATTTCTTTCTTTGTTGTGTCTTTACCTGGTTTTGGGATTAGGGTGATGCTGGCCTCATAAAAAGAGTCTACAAGTCTTCCCTCCTCTTGGATTTTTTGGAATAGTCTGTGAAGGACAGGGGTTAGCCTTTTCCTAAATGTTTGGTAAAATTTGCCTGTGAAGCTGTGAGGTCCAGAGCTTTTGTGTACTGGGAGATTTTTGGTTACTGCTTCAATTTCACAAATTGTTATTGGTCTATTCAGACTTTCTGCATCTTCTTGATTCAGTTTTGGAAGATTATAGGTTCCTAGAAATTTGTCCATTTCACCCAGGTTGTCAAATATTGGCATGTAGTTGTTCATAGTAACCTTACAATCCTTTGTATTTCTGTGGTATCAGTTGTAATTTCTCCTCTTTCCTGTCTGATTTTATTTATTTGGGTCCTCTCTGTTTTGTTCTTGATGAGTCTGCTTAAAGGCTTGTCTATTTTGTTAATCTTTTCAGAGAATCAGCTCCTGGCTTTATTGATCCTTTGAGTCTCTATGTCATTTAAGTCTTTTCTCATCTTGATGATTTCCTTCCTTCTACCTGCTCTGGGCTTTGTTTTTGTTTTGTTTTGTTCCTCTAGTTCTTGTAGATGTAAGGTTAGGTTGTTTATTTGAAATTTTTCTATCTTTTTTGGGTAAGTGTATATTTCTATGAACTTCCCTCTCAGGACTGCCTTCATTGTGTCCCATACAGGTTTTGGGCTGTTGTGTGTTCATTTTCATTTGTTTCCAGAAACTTTTTGATTTCTTCCTTGATATCATTGTTAACCTATTCATTATTTAATAGCACGTTACTCAGCCTCCATGAGTTGAATGTTTTTGAGTTTTTTCCTTGAGGTTGGTTTCTAGTTTCAAGCCATGATGATCGAATAAGATGCTTGATATGATCAATTCCCTTGACTTCACTGAGTCTTGTTTTGTGACCTACCATGTGGTCTATCTTTGAAAATGTTCCATGTGCATTTGAAAAGTATATATTTTGCTTCTTTGGGGTAAAAAGGTTCTGTATCTATAATTAAGTCCATTTGATCTAGAGTGTCGTTCAATGCCACAATATCCTTGTTGGTTCTTTCGAAGATCTATCTATTGTTGACAATGGGGTGTTAAATTCCCCTACTATGAGTGTGTTGTTGTCTATGTCTTTCTTGAAGTCCTCCAAGATTTTTCTTGTCTATTTGGGTGCTCCTATGTTGGATGCATATATGTTTACAAGGGTTGATGGATTGATTGTTCCCTTAGGTATTATATATAGTGTCTTCTTTTGTCTCTTTTTATGGTTTTTGTTTTGAAATCTATTTTGTCTGATATAAATATTGCCATCTGAGCATTTTTTTCATGTCTGTTTGCCTGGAATATTTTTTTCTATCCCTTCACTTTCAGTCGATGTAGGTCCTTTGTTCTGAGGTGGGTCTCTTGTAAGCAGCATATATTCAGGTCATGTTTTCTTATCCATTCAGCTACCCTATGTCTTTTAATTGGAGCATTTAATCCATTTACATTTAAGGCTTTATCGCTAGGTATTATTCACTGCCATGTTTCCCCTTTGCACTTGTGTTCCTCTCTCTCTCTTTCTTCATCTTCTTAAAGT